CCTTTCCCAGTCATTATTTACTAATTTACCATGCTGGTTCTCATAGAAGAACACTTGTAGAGAACATTGTCCTTTCCGCAGTTGAGTGTTGTCTTCTAAAGTTTACGCATCATTCATCTGCATAGTCTTATTACAGGCTTATCCCATGTAAATTACCCATTTAAGCCAAAGTTTTCGGCATGCTTCATCATAAATAATAATGTATTTTATATGTAGGGTGAGTGTCACAACAAAGCAAACAGCCGATGTCACAGAAGATGCGCACAAGCTTGAAGAGATAAGGAATAACATCTTGGTTCTCTATCCAAGCAATGCTGTGAATCAGACAACGGTCCTTCCGCCGCTGCTATTTGGAAGAAGAGAATCATAACATGCAAGAGTGGCGTATTAGGTCTGTAAAATCGGAATTTATTGTTTTCAGATGTTATGGCGCCAAATATCTGAGAAGCTCATGGCACGTGGCCGCTTGCATTATGACTAAAAATGCAATAAACCTCAGACCTCGCTTGTAATTTCTTTCAAGGTGCCTCGCCAGTTGAGCGTTTACAGACAATAAATGTCATGTGCACCGAATGGCAGTAGCATTATTTGCAATAGCTGTCATTTTGACAGCTGTAAGGTGACCTGGACGAATTCTTCAGTTTGTGTATTTGGTACCTATGGCATTAATGATGTGTGTATGGTTCATTTAAGTTATAACAGACAAAACATTTCTTGAAATGCCTGTAAACGGTGAAAATGCGACCTTTCACCTGACTCGTGACGTCATCAGTTGGACCGAGGTAAATGAAATTGAGTCACAAGGTAATTCCCCGGCGCAGTGGTGCTATCGAAAGCCGTTTGAATTTTGAAAATCGGCCGGTAAATTTCCGAGATCTTAGGGGGGCCGAAGCGCCCCCCTTCCCATACGGGTGGTAGGGTCCCCCGATAGCCCTACGGGGCACGGGTTAAAAAGAATAACTACGCGTAAGGAGTATACCCTTACTCTAGCTGTAGCCAAGAGCTCATCAGTCACATAAATTCTCGCCGGTTTATATTTATTACATACCATACATGACAATGCATAGTCATGCAAATCCACTATCCGATTTCCCAAGCAGTGGCATTTACTCAAAATGACTTGGCGGAAAGAACGAATGCGTTGAAGTGCTGATAAATTACACAGATTTGCTTAGATATTTTGTTTTCTTTCGATAATGAATGCAGGTGGTTAAGTTTTCATTGCATTTTTTCTTCCATCGGTTTATGTTGTATGTGTAAAGACGGATAATTTTGTGAAAATATGTCTCTATACCGACTTGTTTGGATGTGTGTCTCTGCAATTCAATTACTCATTCAGCATTAGTCCGACTCTCCGTCGCATAGCCCCCGCTCACCTCAGCCCAAGAGATAGCGTTTACAGGTTAGGATTGGAATAGAGGGGTTATAGGGAAAGAAGTCGACTGGGTCGGGGCTGCCGCAGACTGGTCTACTTTGCTCCTGTACCGCCGCGCACACATCTTTTATACGAAAAGTGTTTGTCTTTTTCAAACAGCCTGCGGTTATGACCGCGACGGGCTTTTTCAGCGCCGGCTGTGGTGGTCTGGTCAATGTCCACGTCACGTGTACGACGGCGTCCTGCCGCCAGCCATACGTTTTTACCCCCTCCCTCCGCGACACAGAGTTTTTAGCTCTTCGGCGAGCCATGTGTATGCATCGGGATGCCGACGCAGGCTGCTGGCGGCCCTGAAGCGGGTGGCGACGAGGGCGGACCGGCGTCGCGAGGTTTTTGTCTCAGCATGTAGCGTTGTCGTCATGCTGACGCTGGCGCTGGCTGGTGGCTTGTTATGACGACGAGGGCGAGCTGGCGGCGTCGCGTACTTTTCCAGTTTTTTTTTTCCAGCTGACATAATTTTTAGGCGATCCGACGTAAAAGGGAGAGGCTTGATAGCAATATATCAGCTCGATCTTATTTGATTTAATGTACTGAAAAGGTGTTGATTGAATCACAAACTAATTTAATCAAACTAATTATCGGGAAGGCGTTATGGCAAAACTCTCCATGAAATGTGCGTCTCATGATACCAAAATAGCACATTATTGCCATGATCAGAATGTTATTTGCTATGCAATGCATACATTCCCCGTTGGTTCGATAGATCCCAGCTCATTAGCATCGTCCTTCAAATGCCAGACATGGCGCGGGGTCTGTTAAATCGCCCAGCGTTTGTTTAGGGCACACAGCGGGCCTGGGCAGTGTCACTCCGTTAGCTCTGGCCTATTCGGGGCACCGACGTCACTCACCCGCTCCAATTAACCCATCCAAGATTGACAGCGCAAATGCGGGAGTTTTCGATCAAACAGGTCTCGGGTGTGCGCCCCCGGACGCGTGCCGTCTCCCAGGGCGGTCAGCCAGCCCCGTGTGCCAATCCGTCCAACGGAGAGACGGCGGACAGTGGCACGTGCGGCGCCCCGCGCACCCCTGCTGCACGGTTTGACCGATTGCCCAATACCCGGGGATGACAGCTCATCGCTGGAAAGGCTGCAGCTGCAGAATAATTACAATTCATCAACGAAATTTAACGCGTAAGTGTGAAACAGAATCAGCTAAACTAGAAAACAATTCGTGATTAGACAAGGAATATGTAATATGTAAAAGAGCACTATCATAACAAAAAAACGGAAAAATCACAATTAAAATGGCAAGTAGGTCAAAAACGTTAACATAGCTTCCCTGAATATGCGACTGAGACCAGCTGCTTCAAAACGATTCTTATGGGCATGACATAAGTTGAGTCGAACCTTCGATTGCATGTGATTTTGCACGTGAGGCGCGCGTAATTCTTAGTAGACACATTGTAAGAATCGTGTTGTAATTGAGATGTTCGTGTTGAATTTATTTTTTGTTCGATGTAATTGGTTGTGAAAGATCGATTATTTTGTATCACAGTGTCTAGAGTCGACACAAGCTGAGGGTGATCTAAAATGTGACCAAAATATAATCATCCCGTGAATTATCCGTCAAATATTTGAAAAGATTCGCGGTTTTAAGCCCAATCACGATTCTTGTACTTTCATTAACTTCATGACGCTTATAAATGTTTGTTTTACCATGTGGCATGAATAAAAGAGGCATTTCTAATCCACGTCTACGGACTCAATCCATAGCCGTTGATCTTTGCCAAAACGATAACAATACCTTCCTCAGCATGGCATGCATTGGAGGGTGACCGAACATATCAAGATAGATCAGGATTACATCACAGCGTCCCGGGCCGATCCATCGCAGGGGTTACCCGCGGTCTGGCAGCCACCCGGCAGCAAATCGACACCGAGTGGGATCACTGATCGACGAGCTTGTTTACATGGCAGGGAACCGGGCAGAGCGGGTTATCGGAGGACAGCACACCATCGCCCGGTCACCACAGACGCGGTCATCAACATCTATCATTGGTGGAATGGTGATATAAAAACTCCGTGCTGCCGGGATTGTTGCTGTTTTTGTTGCCGTATACCACTAAAAAGGACATATTTTAATATAGGTAAATGATACCCTCTAAACTTATTTGTGAGAACCCAGCGGTTGAATTCAAAAACATCTTCCTTTGATCTTTGATTTCACGGCGAATGCCGTTATCTCAGCCACAAGTTCTTTGCACTCTTATGTTTGCACCCTAGGTTGTAACGATTGGATTGTATCCTCATGTTTGCTATGATGTTTCCAGAATTTGAATATTTTCAAGTGTCGGCACAAGCCGCTTGATTTGACTTAAAGAAAATAGCCACACCTCACTTCAATGCAAGAGAAGTGTGGTTCTGTTATACTTGCAACAAAACTTAAAACCACAATGGACGGTACAAGATCCATCGCATTTATTGAAGAAGTAATAAAGGTTTGTGCTCGCTCGGTATGAATTTCGGCCGCCTAGCTACAAGCGGAAGATGACTTCGCTGAGGCAATAGGCTGGCTTCCAAGAACATGGACGATATTAAGCTTTGCCGCGAGGTGAGAATATTCGGCGCCAGACACGTTATATGGAGAGAATGCAGCCCTGAATAGTGCGCTATGTGAGCGAATTTTGCCTTTACAGCCAGAGGGCTGTAAGAAGTTAATTAAAATGGGCAGGAACGGATGCACGGCTAAATTTAGCAAGGCTTGCCGTCAGAAGGCAGCGTAGTTAGTTCACTGGTCATGAGGACCACCGAAGGAGCTACAGCATCTTCTGGTGGCATTTCACTGGCTTCTGCAGCCGCCGTAATACCTTGATGAAGCAGCATCACTCCTCTTGTGACCGTGGAGACGGATTATAACGATTGACGGCCCCTTGGGAAGCCTGCACGTCCTTCATCACGCCGGTACTTTGGACCTCATGAGTTGTGGATGATATTTCTGTAGACTTCGTACCGACCCCATGGATACTGAAGCTGCACCTGACAATACTATTGCAAAATGATATGCATTTCGATGCTAAACGTGCGCTCATTATGGGCTAATGGTGGAAAAATTACAGTGAATTCTGATCAAAATCCACTGATGGTACGACACCTCGCAGATCAATACCTTTATGCCGTGCAGATAACCCTGTCACTAAAAACATCCAAAGGATCCTATATAAAAGCACACCAATAAATATCATATAATTCCAATGCAATAAACCAAAGGACTATTCAGTGTTCAGTGCTTTACCCATCCAGAGCTGCTGCCTGCGCGCTGTATTTGTTAAGTTTGTTTAATAGGGTTAGGCCTTCTCTGTCTAACCAACCCTTTTCAGGTCCGAAAGGATGATAGGAATGGGGGGAGACATTGGTCTGGGCAGCCAGTAGCCACCCCGGTGCGCCGCCGAGCCGGGACTAAAGCCCGTCACTGAATACTGGCCAACAAACCCCGCAAACAAACACCTCACCGCACGTCAGTCTGCTTCTGTCGGGTTAAGATCCAGTCCGGATCGGCGTGGTGAAGGATTTGACTGTCCTGAGGATGGAAAATGACGGAACTGTAATCTGCGCAGTATGTCCCTTACCCTCGGGCGATCCGGCCAGGGCAGTGGCGGTGAGGGTCAGCATCAGTTCCAGAGGCTTCATCTCGGTCACCGGATAGGCATGCCCTCGGGCTCGCACACAAGCAGACACGCACACTGCAACACGCGCGGGGTCACTGCCGGCGCGGTCGGCGGCACAGCACTGACAGTGCGGCGAGGCTGAGCCGGACTGGACCCGCCGCCGCCGGCCGCGCACCGACGAAGGCGGGCTGTGCCCGGCGGACCGGGCAGCGAGGTTAGGTGACGTCACGCATATACATACAGGAAGACATTCGTATTTTCATGCAGGTGTCGCAAAAATTGTACATTTATCACCTACGGAGTGCGCATGCAAGTCGCGGTTTGTGGGGAGCATGCTTCCGAGCAATTAGATTCGTTTTCCTTTCTAAATAATCACAGTCAATTTTTGTATTGTCCTGACGTTCACAGCGGCTTCTTTATTCCTGATATGATGTCAGCCTGGATGACTGTGCTGTGCGTTCCAGCTAACATAACTAAGCAGGATTTGAGCATTAGGTAAGCAAGGCTAAGCAAGAACAAAATATAAAATGAAAGTCCAACACAGCCCGTCACCAGAAGATATGACCGAGGTGTATTTGTATTTGACCGAGGTAAAAACGACAGCCGGCACACAAGAGCCGATATCGCAACTCGCCAGATGGCAGTCAGAAGATAAAAAAAAAACACTCACACAATTAACAGCATCACGGACAAACCAACAAGCACATCATGACGTAACCGACACTGATAGCAAACCAACAACAATGACGTTGAACAAATGGATGCTATCTCTGTTGCTAAGTAGCATTGGCCTAGACTTAATTAATTACGAACATATCAATATAAAAATAGCAAACCTAGCATTTTTGTCGTGTATGATGTATGGTAGCGCGGTGCCTAGCGGTTAGGGTTTCGTCCATTGGAATAAATTATTCATGGCCACCTTGCAGCTAACCAAGTAGATGGTGGGAAGGATTAGTGGCCTGTGAAAACTGAAAATCATTTGAACCTGAAACCAAATATTTTCTCTTGGAGTATCTACGCAATGTAGTTTTTGGAAGTCATGCAACAAACCCAATTCAATGTAAAACATTCGATATGCCACTTTGATCATGTTTACTGGATCTGGGTCGGGCCTTTTAAAAACCACCGGTTGGGATTGGGCTCATGCTCTACTTACGTATATTTAATTCATCTTTTGTGCGTTTTGTAACCTAATTGCATACTTGAAAGCCACGTTCCCGAAGGCTGTAAAATGTGTAGTTTGCTTGAATCTTGATCCCCACAAATAGCACACATACATATTTGTCTTATAAATGCATGTGCAAGTCAACAACTACAATCGCACTTATCGCTGCACATTAATTGGAAAGTGACTAGGTATTTCTCAAATGCAAGACAAAACCAGCTCACAAATTTGTTTTTAGAATGATTATTTGATCAAAGAACTATCTGGAGTGCAGAACATTGCGTGCAAATGAAAACCATCAGCTTATCAGCCACATGATAGAGAAACCAAACTCGTATAGCCGCAGAGACGAGGCAGATGCGAGACCTAGCCGGGACAGGCGTCTGAGCTCTGTGAAACGCTGAGCAAAGTTCGGAACCAGACGACTTTTCAAGCAGCTAACGCTTGAGTTAACGCCACTCGAGATCGCCGACACAGCTGGAAAGCAGAATACTCAACTTTTCCATGATCCGATGATTGATAAGAGTTTGTAGATTACCTAGTGGTGGACATTAGAAGCAAGCCAATTCACCTCTCAACTACTCATTTGCTTCTGAATTCGAGAGAATTGCCATTGGAGTGCGAAAATAATGCTAAAATGTATCTAAAATAGTCAACCAGGTATGACTAGCCCATCTGCATTCGCACAGATGCATTCACATTCACTCTCCGAGGTGGCAAGACAAACACACGGTAGGGTATCACGACTGCGCGCTATGAGGAAGTCACCCTCCCGTCAGGGTACAATGTGAATGCGGTCGGCGGGCCCCTGCAATCCAGCGCGGTGTGCTGGTTACAGGCCACGACCCCCCAGGGACACTGACCCAGTGACCCGCCGCGGTGATCAGGCAACGGTAGCTGTAGCGGCCTGAATGTGCTGCGAGTAGACCGCCTCCCGCAGGGATGGACTCGGAGTTGTGGCCACGGCAGCGAGCGTCGCCCAGATTGAGGTCAGAGTGGACTGGAGGCTTTAGGTCCCTTTGAGTAAGTTATGCAGAAGTATGCACTTGGTAAATAAACATTTTCGCAGTCATTTAATGAGAGGTCGGGGATGGGAGAGTTGGCTCTTAAAATCTGGCGATAAAACTAATATGGATTATTCCGACACTCACCTCAAGCAGGTCTTCATCGGCCTTCATTGCACTCATTTCTATAGCTAGCTTTGCACGCCGTAGACTGCGATCCCACCGTTCGAATGTAAGATCAACATCGCATGGAACTATGCAGCTGGGTCCGCTGTGCTCCATATGACCTTATTTACATTAATAAATTAACGGTGTAGCCACTTTACATTCATCACTCCAACACTTTCCCACTGGCTTTCATTGCGCTCATTTCCGTGACAAACAACGTTGTTTAGTGGCCGGCAAGCCCACCGCAGCTCATCCTGCAGTCGCGGCCCGGCCTCTTTCGTCTCAGACACGCGATATTCGCTGCAGTTCCGGTCCATCCTTTGTGTTGAGTCGCTTCCGACGCCCGACTCACAGGCAAGATGCCTCGTGGCGCCCTGCCAAACGGGGGCTGCCATAGCCCAGTGAAGCGTGGAGTTTGCAAAGCGTTCATAATTCAGAAGAGCTCGCGTGGAGAACTGCATAAACACGCGACAGGTTTGATCATAATCTGGTGTAATCGTGGATTACCGTTTACAGGAGAAGCTACTTAGACTGTGCGCTTGTATAGCTCTGCATGCAACGCGGCGTGACGGAGTGCATGTACATTTATTTACAAGGTGGTATTTGTAGCATTTTGCATTACCATTGTAGCATGAACCAGTACATGCTCCTTAAAAAAAAACATTCGTTCGATGCAGCTACATGCTTCACAATTTCAGCGTACGGCGCACCAACTCGCAACTTTCACTATGCCAAAATCACAAATCCGAATGTAAATATCGCTCGCTCATCGGTCTGTTGTCCGCACCGGTGTCCGCCCAGGCGCGGTTTACGAGCGGAGCCGGTTTGTCTGGTGCCGTCGCCGTGCGCCTGGCGGACTCGTAAACCCTTCCAGGCGGCCACATTGTCGCCGACACGAGTGTCCATAAAGTGTCCGAAGGCGGTGGTGCGCGCCAGCCGACCACTCCGTGAAGCCGAGCCGTGAAAAACGCACCGCCGTTTGATCGATGATGAGCCAGTCAATACAGAGTTTAGTTAAAAAAACACACCAATGGGTTGCTGGAGCAGTCAGCGTGGGACCTTTGAAATGAGCATCAAGTTAATTCGGCAGCTGTGGTAATGGATGTGACTTTTGATGTGATTTGACGATCATGGACCATCATGGCAACACGTAACTTTTCCCCGGACCCCTATACACGACGTTAGAATCACTGCGTGCAAGTGATTCGTACGCATGAATATTTTTGGAAAGTTACCTGGTCATTTCGTAGCCTGATTTAAACACCCGGAGATCGCCCACCACATCGCAATCGTCAGATCTGTCTTACGGTATTCATACTATGTGCGGATTCTGAGCATGTCCAGCAGCTCCGAGACCCGTCAGCTCACTGTTTCACGCCTCACACCCAGTCCACCCCCGACCGTCACATCTCCAGGCCGGCCGCGGGGGGACTCCCTCGGGAGACCGGCGTTGATGAATCACTGACAATGCACGATTACCCCACCATCAGGGGCGCACAAAGCGCGCTGGCCGCCGACGGAGAAGCGACGGCCCTCTCCGGGGATGGCCGCGTCCATTCAGCCCATTGATTGATGGCCTTCCGGCGGCGGCTTCTCTCGCCGGCCGCAGAATGCCAGGGTGGCTGCTCGTGGTTTCAGATAGGGCGCAGCGCGGAGCCGTGGTGTTTTGTAGCGCGGTGAAGATGATGGTGGATTAGATATGTGCTTTTGAGAGGTGTTGTATAGTAAAGACAGTAGAAAGTTGTATTGTGAACGTCTTTTTTCGGAACTATCTACAATATGTACTTTGGATCCAGCTGAGTAAATGAGTGTTGCATTACGTCAGTCTGTTTGGGTCTAATTGCAGTCTGCAGGTTTATCATTTGACATGACCTTTTACATCCCGCTGGAACAAGCGAAAGCACGTCACCAATTCGTGGCCGTCTCGGCCGCCGACACTCGAAAGCGGCGCCGTTCGGTCAGTCGTTCTGGCGTCATTAGGCTGTGATGGAGAGCCCTGTTCGAGCAGTGCGGGCCGCTGCCGCTGCAGCTGCCACTAAAACTACTTTGGCGGTTCCGTCTCACTCACCGCTGGATTAAATACACATACCAGTCACCCTCCGAGGGCAGTGGTGTCCAGATCAATAGAACGAGGTCGTGTTTTTGTGCCTCTGGGGTCAGCGGTTCAGATTATGTCTTATAGTCTCATCGACAAGCATGGCACGGATTACGTCAAACGCTTGTTTGAAACTTAGACGAATCGTAGCAAACCAGCAGCACATAAACATTTCCATTGTTGGCGTCCAGGCTATGTTATCAGTTCCGATCGGCGGTGCGTCTTTTTCAGTTTCAACAATCTTTCCTTTACCTTTGGGCCCTGTCGCAGAAGAAATCAAAGAACGGATCGGTTTTCGTATTTCGTAATAAGCGTCTTTTTATCGGCGCTGATCCTTAATATCTATTTATACTTTATAACCTTTTTGTGACCATGAAGAAACGAAGTCTATGTGATAATTGGTAATCAAATGCATTTATTTATCTTTCTCAACGTAATTTATCCTATCGACGGCATGGATCAGCTAAGTAATGAAACTGTTCAGCTAAGTAATGAAACTGCAGAAAAAATGAAGAATTACGGGCTGGCGGCTTTTAAACGGGCACATAACTATAACCCGGCCGGGCCCGGGGGTAATCCAAACCAGCGCAGCCCGCCACCCCCCCCCCCCCCTCCCTTTCGCCCCCTGTCTAACTCCGTAAATAAGGGAGCTACGGAAACAAAAGCGATACCAAACGAAAGGTTCTGACGAGACGATTCTAGGGCACCTAAAATTTTTGACCTCAAGTCAATTT